GGTTTGGTATTGGAATAAACTTGTTATGTCTTAGAACTTAAATTCAAATTTCATAAATTCCTCTAATTTATTCGAATCTCACAACGGAATCTCCTGTGAAGTGCTTTAGAAGTGATTTGAATAATTTACTTTTGCTTACGTTATACATGATGCCTAGCAAATAGTAATTCCTATTTTTTGTATGAGCTTGAACTTGATTTTGCGTTCGAAATGTTTAAAATTTTGATATATCTAGGTAGATAACTTTGATAATTCGCTAAGAACTTTTCACAGAATTTCTTCAGAATGATCTCAAGAACTTTTTTAGAATAATTTTCCTTCTCTTAAACTTAGAGGCAAAAGAGAGCTTTTACAAAAATAATATTGCATTCTTGAAATTCATTGCAAAACAATCAACAAAATTCTAGGAAATAGATTATTTTCGTAGCTGGAATTTTTTAATATCGAATATCAGAATTAAAGTGGACATTTGATGATGAGGAGATGAAAGTAAAGAGTTGATAGTTCCGATATAGTAAGGCAGTGTGAAGTTTGTATATTGAAAGTAGAAAGCGAACAAAGGAAAGTTTTGAGGAAGGTACGAATCGAGTAGAGCATCTCCTTTACCAAGCTCATCCGGTAATGAGGGATGGTGAGGGGTGTTTCCCCCTGCCGCCACTGGCAAAAGGAATGATCACCGATTTGCTCATGTACCTCCGATGTGCGGAAACAGTTCTATCGATTGTTTCACACTCAAGTCGCCATCTGACGTAAACAAGTACCCGTTTCGTACAATCCTCAAAATTGTCCTTGCTCGCTGCTCCTTAGAATTATCACTTAACCTCAGAAATTTAATAAATTTCTGCTTAGAATAACTTTGGACTTCTCCTCGGCATTCATTCTCCTTAGAATTCCCATAGTATTTCCTCAGAATTCTCAAAACAGAAATCCATCACAGAATAACTTTGAAACTCTTCTCGGAATTCCTTTGAGATTGAACCCTCAAAATTCGATTCCATTGGAATTTTTCTCGGAATTTATTTCGAACTCTTTAGAATTCTACACGTTAAGATTCACATACGTTAAAGTCGGTAAAGATTACCTAGATAACGGTAAAAATTACTGATAATCGAAGAAAGTGCACATACCTAAATTATCGGTTATCATGGATTACCAATAATTAACGTTAAAAATTACCTAAATTATACTAAAAAATAGCCTATTTAAAGTAAAAAGTAACGATTTTTATCGGTAAAAATACCGATAATTTTAGGTAATCGTAGCTAAGTGTGTATTGCAAGTATCTTCAGAAATTACCCCAGAATTCATTTAGAACTATCCGTACAGACCATTTTTGGAGTTCACGGGATTTTCATGGAATTTTCGTCAAAGCTCCCTTAAGCAAAATTTCAGAAATAATTTTGAATTCTTATTTAATTTCTTATCAGAATCCTCATCCAATCATCATAGAATTCTTCTCAGAACTCTCGTTAAAATCCACCCTCAATTATACCCTAGCAACACGCTTGTCACTGAAAAATTGAGGTTACTTGTGTGCAACTTATTCCAGTCACAATCAAGTTGCAGCAACTCATTTAGATAGAAGTGTGCGGCTTGGGTATTATTTCCAAAATTGTTTCGGAGCTGAATTTTGCGTCTCTAATAATTTAAATAATAATCCAAAGCGACGCTCGTATGTGTTAAGCCAAGTTTAACTATATAAATAAATCTGACTTAAGAGTTAAGCGGAGATGAAGAAATCAGTTCTCAGAACACTAGATTTTACATTAGACTTTCGTAGTCTGTACTTTGGTATTCTTATCTGATATATCTTGTTGTCATTCCTAGAATCCTTTAAAATTCTCTTAAAATTTATTTGGGATTTTTTAAAGTTCTTAATTATCCTTGAAAGACTTTTGAAAATCTATTACAGATAAATACCTTTTGAAAGTTTCTAAGGTTTACAATTTATTTTCTGGGAAAGGAGGTATATTTTCCCCAATTTTTAATCGAAATTGAAAGCATTTCCCAATAGTTTTCCTGGTACTCTAAAGTTTTGCGGTTCACTGGTCACCCTAGCTGCTACCAGCTCTGAACGCGTGTGACGTCCGGAAGTTTTTCTACCGTTCTGTTATTCCCCCGTGAACTGGTTCGTATGAGACCTCGTTCGAGACCTTCGGTTGTTCGATTCCGAACTCGACGTATATTAATTTCGTTTCTTTCGCATAATTTTTTTGCCACATTGCGCATCTCGAAACGAAAAACTTTTTCATACAAGCGTTCGTACAAAAAGTCTTTCGTTTCGAGATTCGCAATGTGACCCCAGTACTTGCAGCTTCCACCACGACTGTTGATCTGGTTCTTTCTGGAGACCCGGGTGTGCCGTAGAAGCCATCCGTTCTGTTATTCCCCCGTGAGCCGGTTCCTTCGACACCATCGGTTGTGGAAAAATGAATAATATATTTGTTATTGTCTTCACGGATTTTATTGATTATGATTTTTAACATTAGGAATAATTACGTGCTCGTTATATGGCAAGCGTCCTTTTCTTTAATAATTTGTTTTCCGGGAAAATAACGTACCGTTGGGTTAATTTTACTTAAAAATAGGTTATTTATCTGAACAAAATCCCAGTAAAATAACCCATAGTTGAGTTAATCCGACCCAAACGCTAGGTTTTTTTTTATTCGGAAAAGTGCCAGGTAAAATAACCTATCGTTAAGTTAAATTTACCCAAAATTAGGTTTTTCCTAATTGGTCAAATTTACCTACTGCAGTCTTCTAGATCATTTAACCAAAATTAGGTTTTTTTTTATTTTTACCCAAAATTAGCTTCTCGTACACAGCAAAAAAAGATGTTGAATATTACATCCAAACTGCTGCAACCTGGTCAATTTTTTCGGTTGTGTAATATCACATTGTACGATGTACATCGATTTTGCGAACAAAATTACATCCATTGATGTAATATTGTATCTGCTTTTTGCTATTACATCATTATTTCATACATCAGCTTGAATTGCGTTGATCGATATTACATTTTTTTTTTGCTGTGTACGGAACTTCGAGGTTGAGTCAAAAGAACCCTAATTTGGGTAATTTGTTATTTCTGTGTAGCGCAAACTAGTCGATCAGATATTGCCTACGCTGCGAATGCTGTGAACAACTTCTCTGCCAACTCTGGTAGACAACATTAGGAAGCAACCAAGCGTATCATCCTATACCTGAAGGGAACAGCGCAGAAAAGGTTACTGTATACTAAAGCCGAAACTGAAGGGCTTCAAGGGTATAGCGATGCCGATTGGGGAGGAGATCCTGATGATAGAAGATCGACAACAGGTTACTTGTTCACCATGCAAGGGGCTGCAATATCCTGAAATGCGAAGAAGCGTAGCCCTTTCATCATGCGAGGCGGAATTCATGGCAATTTCGCGGGTCATTCAAGAATCTGCGTTCGGAGCTAACAGAAGTTGAAGCAATGCCAATCTACTGCGATAATCAGTCGGCAATCAGCATCGCGAACAATGGTTCGTATAATCCAAGAACGAAGCATGTTAGTATTCGCTACCACGAAGCATTGCAGCAGCCAACAGTAAAGTTCGAATACATCTAGACCGCAAACCAACCAATTCTTAGGCATCGCGGATTAGGGAGGAGTGAAAACCCGCGATTTTGTTACGTTAACAAGTATTTAGAGAATAAACGTTCATTCCACTTTGTTCCTTCAAACCTGAATCACCGGTTTTCCTTTTAACTCATCAAGACTAGTGTGCCATTTGTCTTTTAATTGCCTGCTGTCTTTAGCCAAGTTGTTCAAATGGGCAAGGTCTTTTGGAAGATGAACAGCATAATTCTTAATTCCCTCACCAGGCGGCATTAGTGTGCCGCCAGGTTTTATAATTGCTTGATTTATCGTGAGAGTTCGTCTAGGTAGAAGAAGGTTGCTGTCTTTGGCAAACTTGTGCAGATGGATAAGGCTTGATTGGAAATCTTGATTTGTTCATATTTGTCATGACTGTAACGTCTCAACTGGAACATTTCGACGACCAACTTTCGCGAAAGAGTGTGGATAAATATTATTAAAATAGTACGATGATGTCATTATTTCTTATCCCAGTACATCTTTAGTTGAACTTGAACAAGAAATCTACTACATATGATTGCTGTGAAAATTAATTTCAATATCTGCATAACTAATGAAGTGCAAGTTTTTTTTTTTAATTTCTGCCACAAGTAATTGCCTGTCTTACCTCACAGTGTCATACTATACAGCGCAATAAATGTGTTGACTCTGCAACAAAACAATACACAGCCTAGCCGGAGTATGACCACCACGTATCCGAACGTGCTAAATGGATAGAAAGTGTGCCTTCAAAATCACGAAAACCACTCACAAAGGAACACAGGCGAATGAGATCATCAACCTTCGATATATGTAGCAAATGGGTTTGGGGTTTCCCTAAAAGAGTAGAACACGATCAGGAAAAGCAACTTATGTGTCATTCCTTGGCCTGCTGGCAGTTTCTCGTTTGTTAGCAATACATAGGAGATTATTTGTGTTGCTGTTCAATAACAAGTTTGAAAGTTTGTATCGTCCTGTAGGCGGAGAACCTCTTATCATCGCAAATTGAAAAGGAAAACATATCGCCGACAAAGACAGACAGATAAATACAGTTATGTTTTGTCCAACCAACAACAAGATAAATACCTAGCGTTCGCCGCTTTGTTCGATGGGAGTGAAAAAAAAGACAGATACCCCTGACTTTTCGTTTTACGTAGGATAAATAAGACCTTCAACACAAAGGCGCAGCAGAAGCCATATATATCGAAGATCGTTTCCTTGATAGATTATGATATATTACGTTGTACACTAGCAATGCCTTACAGCGCCTTGAGCGAATTCATATTCTCTAAGGAAGAAAGCTATTTGCCACCAAACCAGCTGTTTAGAATTAGCATTAATTACCTACAAACATCCATATATACGAAGATAGGCAGCTATTTTCTACTTTTCTCCTTACCTTCACATCATCGGTGTTTGATGCAATGCTTCCACTGCCACCGCCATCCTGCTGCTGCTGCTGCTGTTCTTCTTGACTGCGCACTACCGTCGTCGATAGGGTTATCGCCAGTAGTATCAAACTATTTACCACCAGCCTACTTCGCCAGCACTTCATGATTATTGTAATTCTCGCGGATTTTACTGCCGATTCGTCATCCGTGTGCCTAGGCCTAGCTCTGTCTGTGTAGTGTTATGAATGAATGGACAGGCGGTGAAAATTTTCGTTCAATTTGATTCTACCTCTCTCTCCGAGGCCCGCTATTGGTAGTCGTTAGCCTGAGCGACTTACACATACACAACCGGAACAAACACTGCACCAATGAACAACACTTTTGTTTACAAATATTTCTGACCACTAGCCACTGAAAAACACGTCCTTCCTCAACGACCGACTTCGCTCAACTGGTGGCGAATGTCGAACTTGGACCCAGAACGAGCAGATAAAAACAAAAGGAGAGGGAAAAACAGATCACCCGAGAATCGCTTGCCCGCCTCGGCGGAACAAGAGACCGGAGAGTGTCACGCCTGGCCCGCCTTATCGGGATCTAGGCGCAATCGCGCGGGCAAGCAAGGTTTCCTGCTGCTTCAAAATATCCGTTCCGTTGCCATAGAGTGGCTGTAAATACAAACAAGTTTTTTCTTCCAAATTGCAGCAGTGGAAAATTCTTTTGTTCTTATTTTGCAAAATTCCGAAATCTACCCTTCGAAAATGCCAAAACAGAACCGCACATCTTGAAACCTTCCGCAATGTCCGGTCACGGCCGATCGGTGTTTGCGAACTCTTGCATCAAAAAGCCTCTGAGCCCACGGAGTAAACATCCGAACCCGTCCTATCTGGTTCCGCAGTGCAGTCTGGATCGAGGTCCGGATGACCCTCAGGCCCAGGACAACCTGAACATGATAACCAAGAAGAAGGCCAACAGCAAGTGCCCGTTGGCCAGGACAGGGCATCAACGCCGGACCAAATGTTGCTCAATCACGCACCAGTTTAGAAAAGAAACCGATAACTTCCAGTCGTTGGTAAAGTTCTATGATAGTATTCCAGACTACGACGACCTGCATCATCTACCGAGCGAAGAATTCTACTGCAAACTCAACACACTTCGCAAGAAGCAGCGAGAGTTAAGATACGGATGTGGTTACGACAGTAGATGCACCAAACGGGAGCTGAAAGCTCCCGTCGTGTTAGTGGAGCCACCTACCATCAGTGAACAGAACGACGACAACGATTCGCTTCACTCATGGAGCAAATCACCACCAGCTACGACTGGCATCCTCAACGGAACTCGTAAGGGTTCCGCCAAATCTGTCCGCATCGAAACGACCAAGGAAGACGACGAATCTGAGGGTAGGACGTCTCGTAGAAAGTTCCGCGCAGGTACACCCTTTGTTTCGGACCACGAAGACAGTACCAAGAATGCTTCGACCTGTACGACCCCCGTCAATTCGGACTTTGTCGAACGTTACGATCGCTACGTGAAACGTAATCTACGCTGCAAATCGGCCTCACCGATACGCGATTACTCCAAGGTAACCGTCCCTCAGCCGTACAAAATGACCCAACGGGAAGAGGAAGGACGTGCCCTGCAAGAGTTGCTGATCGCCAGCAAGAATGCCTTCTCGTCGAAGGAAGCACTCAACAAACCGCCATCCACCATCAAAGCCAATCCGGTCCCGATAACTTCCCGTATTCCTCTGTTCAACACTATCATGGCCGATCAGGAATATCGTAACAAGCTGGCCAAGCTCAACTCCGAAATTGAACTTCATTCGCAAATCAAGCCGTTCCACTTCAGCGAACGTCTCAGTCGCCCTAACAACCGCTGTCTAAGCCGCAGTCTCTCGTCCCCGGCTCTGCTGACGACCGGCTTCGAACCGGAACTCAAGCCACTAACCACGTTCAAAGCGAAGCCCTGCCCGAAGAACCTCTTCAGTAATTACTTCTACTTCAAGATGTGGGAAGACGAGTACTTCCGCAACATGACCAAAAGGATCAGAGCTGAAGAGCTGATGAAGCATTCGTCGCTGCCACCGTCGATGGCTCGCAGGGAGAAGCATCAGCGCAAGAGCTGCGCCCTGCTACACACCGATTCAGCCGCCGAAGGAGCCTCGCCGACGAAAAGCAAACGGAAACGAAAATCGAAGCGGAGCGCAAAGCGAAAGAAGAGCGTCGAGGAGAAGTGTTCAGAATACTTTGCCAGCGTGGGAAACGTGTTCGACCAGCCGTCGATGCAACTGAAGACGCCACCGGTGAAGGTAAGTAGGGATGGGTTATGTTTGATTACGTGTTAACTTATTGGGCCCCTTTCAGCCACTGTATCCGTCGAGTAACTCAAGCTATAGTACAAGTGTGGACGTTCATCAGTCTGCTGGAAACCCGGCTCCGATATATCCGGTCAATAGACCGAATTTGGCTGCCACTTTGCGCACGGAGTGGTGTCGAAAAAAGCTACGCGAGCTGGACCTGGAGGACAGTGTAAATTTGAAGAAGACGCCGCGCTTTCAGTGGGGTGTGAAGCGATCGCAGGCGTTCCAGAACTTGAACATTGAGTGAGTTGGGATTTGACTTAGCGAACCTTAAGATTGGATGGTTATGGTGGTCTTTGGTTTTCAGTCAAACCCATCAGGAGGAGCTGGACCTGCGTCTGGCGACGCGTCGAGCAGAGCAGAAGCTTCGCCAGGAGGAGCACTCTATTAACATGGAACTGATGCGGCAGCGAGTTAAGGCAGCTCCGTTGCTGCTGGAGGGACCTCCCCAGTGGGGGCCTCGATTAGGTCACGTTACGCATAGATGCATGCTCAGCAGCAGCAAAGATGCCGACCCATTGTTTCGGAAGACAGCGGCGGACAAAGGCGGCAAAGGTAACAAAAAGGGGCTACTGATGGGTGGGATGAAAAAGCGAGAATCGTCCAGCTGTGGAAGAGGAAGCAGTCATCAGCAGGATCACAACCATCGCCTGAGCGATAAACATCGAAGCTCGAGCGGAAGCAAGCTCAGCAACTACTCGGTGGATTCGTTCGGGAAGAGTAGTTCCAAATTCTGCGACAGTGAAGTGTTGGAAAGCTTTACGGACGATGTCTGATAACATATAAGGGATTAGGAGAGGATGGTAGAAGGCTTTTCCGGAGTGTGAACAATCAGATTTTCGTGTTGTTGAATAGCAACGTAAGGATTTGTTTTAGTTGTGTCGTGCAATATTTATGTCTGTGTAAAACAATAAACAACGCGTGCCGTCCGAATCATAGTAGGCGTGTTGCATCAATCGAACACTGAACAAAAAGAAATTCTGAATTTTATTAACGAATCAGGGCAAAACACAAACACTAAATGATCCAAGCAGGCTTCAGAATCCTATCAAGGACTGCTCCGCCAGAGAGAGATGAGTCGATTCACTGTTGATCAGATGAGCTGCGGCGCGAACCTCTCGGATTTTGTCCTGTAGGTGGCGATTTTCGTCCATCATTTTGACAATCATCAGAAATTGCTGGTTTATGAACTCTTCAGGGCTTACTCCGTGCGGAGCACTGCGCCGTAATTCGGCTGATGCGCTGCCAGTCAGAGCATCTGGTGGACTTCGCATGGTGTTGAAGACACGTACCTTAACTGTTTGGCAAATTAATAATATCCCCACTGTTTCAGTCGCCTATTACTCACCGAAATATGTAATATGAATGTAGGTCAGGATCATACACTCGACAAGACACCATATACTGAGGAAGAGGTTCAACGAGAACCCTTTTACGTAACAATCGTTGATGAAGTTGGACCCGTAGCATTCCAGAACAATCGTATGGATGGTTAGAATTAACAGATTGGACAGCGACACAAGCTGCAGGGGAGCCTTCTTTTGACGATGGGTTATCCGAAGGAATTTATGGTAACCGAGAAGCTTCAACCGATTGTGTCTACTCTTCATGAAGAGATGGATAATCTGTAAACAATAGAAAATCTGTCAATGTCAACTTCGATCCATCCACACTTGTCTCACTTACATAAGTGGCCACCCAGAAAAACGCCCGCAAGTACAACATCATATAGTAGCCAGGGCATTCATTACCGCTATAGCAACCATGATAGGCAAATATGAACCCCGTCATGGTCAGGATCATCGAAAAGATCAACTGAATCCTGAAAAGGAAATTACCGGACACCTAACCTCACTTTCATCGCAACTATAAACAAACGGAACAATACCTACCACGAAGCGAAGGTGGTATTCACTCGTTCGAAGGCAATCGTCGTAATGTCGCCGGTAATCGTCGGGAACAGCGTCTGCTGATCTTCCGGCTGCCGGCCGGGCGACATGGGACTGTACGATGATCCGTTCATTGATTCGCGGCCACTACTAGTACTGGGAGCCGAGCGAAGTGCGGCTATTTGAGAAACGTTACGGCTGATAAACGACATTGCCGTTTGAAGCGCCAAGCCAACGGATGAACGAACACTGAACCTATCGAAATAATATATTTCTCCCGAAACGAGGCAGAAGAAACAATAGAGGATCAACGCAGTTGACAGATATCGGATAGAAGCTATGGATTGTTTTTATACCACCTTGAGCCTATTGAAAGAAGTGAAGTTTTCATATGTACAGTCAACTTTCGCTTGTTGGGCTAAACCCATAATCCACTTAGTGAAGGGCTTTTATTAGTTGGGCTGAGCTGTCAAGTTGAAAATTGGTTGACCGATACACCGATTGTTTATTATCATCAAACTCTTTAAGCAATTTTCAAAATTCTTCATCCATGAGCTCCTCAGAAATGACGTTTGACTTCGATTTAGATGGGCTACAGCTCAACAAACGGGAGCCCAACTAATACGTAGCCCACTTATGGTGGTAAGCTTCAACTGGTATTATCCTCGGATTAAATCCCTATCAAGAATGTTCAACTGCTTTGATGTCGACATCAGAGTTAATCAACACGACTCTAAACAAACATTTTGGTACAAATTGGTACCACAAGATTCGAATTTGGTAGTTATGGCAGGTTGAATATAATTTTTTTCTTAAAATTAAGAAAAATTTAAAGAAATCCACGTCAAACTCATACTTTGTGTAGAATTAGACAGATATTGTATACTACAAACATTCCAGGAATTTGTTTACTAAAAGAATAGTGATCAAAAAGTGTTTGAACAATGATAGAGTTACGATGATTTTAGTAAAAGTAATTTCTTAAAGGTAAAAAATCCATTTTCAAGACGTTTGCACTACCGCTAACCGAAATATTTTTGCATCATGCTCGAGGACATCTCTTTCCTAGCCATTTTGAACCAGAAAAACGAACGAATTTTAGGTTTCATGAACATTCGACAAATAAACCATGCCAATAAAGTTGCCCGAAACTCCTCCGGGCTTGTCGTTCTCAGGATCCATGTGCTGCAGAGAATATCCAACCAGCAGGTTTCTTGATTTCGCCTCTAGTTTGGACCTCTTCTGTTGGGGACGTAACACTGGTGATCCGAAAATCTTCAAATGAATTAGATCCGGCTTCGATCCACTCCTTCTGCAAGTAATTGGCTGTGTTGACAGCCTCGGCTCAGTACTTTAACGACAAACGTGAATCGATGATCATGCAACGCGCCATCTCCACCAGTGAGCGATTCTTTCGCTCCGATACACCGTTCTGTTGGAGGGTATAGGTAACGGTAAACTGCTGCTTGATTCCTTCTTCTTTGCAGAATCTATCTAACATATCGTTTTGGAACTCGCCACCCTGATCCAAACGGATGGCTTTAAGCGTTCTGCCAAACATCGTGTTCACGAACCTCACGTATTCCTTGATCCGGCCACTCACTTCTGATTTGTTTTTCAGGAAATACACGACACAATAGCGGGTGATATCGTCGATTAGAGTTAAAAATATCGACAGTTGGGATGAGATCCAGCACCTGGCTTGACTTGCGTGTGGACCTTTTCGGGAACGGTAACAAATCCAAATTCCCACATATATATGAGGTTGCTCCTGAACCGATTGCCCACGCTTTTTCTAGATTGTTGTTACCACAAACGAGTATTCCAGCACCGGGTGTCTTGACGAGCCGCTTTCACCCTGGTAGCATTCCGATTCTCATCCTGAGCACGATACTTGCTCTGGCTTTCTGCTTGTTTCATCATTGCACGACAATCTTTTCGCTTATGGCCAGACTTTTGACAAAAATGTCACGTTATCTTTTACTTCTTCATATCCACTTTTAGAACTGATTTACCACGTGCTCTGGAACAGCGTTTCGACACCTCGTCCACTAGCTTGGATTTAATCAATTTCAGAATGAGCACGTGGTCTGCTCTGCTCTCAGTATGCTATGGAGTATCATGGCCACCTGCAGACTCTAATTCAATTCCTGGCCCACAATCGTCAGCCGCTCGAAAAGCTCCTCCATTTCAAACACTTGCCATTCGATGTTCTCCCATCAGAATATCTTTTGTCGCAGATCCTTTTGAGTAGCGACACCTTCGAGGTTAGTGTTGCCTTCTCATAGTGTCCTCTCAACAGCTCCCATGTCTCCCTTGCCGTTTTGGACCCTTTGATGAGATTTAACTGGTTGTCCTCAAGCAAAAGGCCAATTGTCGCACGCGCCTTCTGGTCAACTACTGCTACATCAGCGTCTAGGCTCTGCATTGAGTTCAGGTCGTTTTCCAGCTACGCTTTTCCAGAGGTCGTCCCGGATCAGCAGGAATTCTACTTTCGTTTTCCTAGTTGAATAATTGGATCCATCCATCTTAGAGTAACGCAAAATGCGGTAATTGAAGGAATGAATTTATTCTCTCACGTTGTGTTATAAAGACTACTACGATTAGCTTCTGTGTGTTCTTAGGCTCTGAACCATTTGGTGGATTATTTTAACTTTTGGTTAAAATTAGACAGATGGAAAGTTATCGATTAACCCTGCTATCCGAGCATGGTTATTTCTGACAGACAAGAAGTTAAATTTTGACGACCGTGGCTCGAAAACCGGTCGATCGACAGCACGGGGATTTTCGAACATAAGAAATAACTTTCGAAATGTCATTTTTAACCACGAGTTAAATTTAACTCGGCAAATGGTTCACAGCCTTAGGCTCTGAACCCTTTGGTGGATTATTTTAACTTTTGGTTAAAATTTGACAGTTGAAAAGTTATCTATTAAGGCTCTGAACCATTTGGTGGATTATTTTAACTTTTGGTTAAAATTTTACAGATGAAAAGTTATCTATTAACCCTGCTATCCTAGCGTGGTTATTTCTGACAGATAAGAAGTTAAATTTTGACCACCTTGGCTAAGTTCTTCTCGAAAACCGGTCGATCGACAGCACAGGGATTTTCGAACATAGAAAATAACTTTCGAAATGTCACTTTTAACCACGAGTTTAATTTAACTCGGTAAATGGTTCACAGCCTAACCCTGCTATCCGAGCATGGTTATTTCTGACAGACAAGAAGTTAAATTTTGACAACCGTGGCTCGAAAACCGGTCGATCGACAGCACGGGGATTTTCGAACATAGAAAATAACTTTCGAAATGTCACTTTTAACCACGAGTTAAATTTAACTCGGCAAATAGTTCACAGCCTTAGGCTCTTTTGGCGAATTTTTTAACTTTTGGTTTAAATTTGACAGATGGAAAGTTATCGATGAACCCCGCTAGCCGAGCATGGTTATTTCTGACAGAAAAGAAGTTAAATTTTGACAACCGTGGCTCGAAAACCGGTCGATCGACAGCACGGGGATTTTCGAACATAGAGAATAACTTTCGAAATGTCACTTTTAACCACGAGTTTAATTTAACTCGGTAAATGGTTCACAGCCTAACCCTGCTATCGGAGCATGGTTATTTCTGACAGACAAGAAGTTAAATTTTGCCTAAAGGCAAAGGAATGCCTAAGGCTGTGAACCATTTGCCGAGTTAAAATTAACTCGTGGTTAAAAGTGACTTTTCGAAAGTTATTTTCTATGTTCGAAAATCCCCGTGTTGTCGATCGACCGGTTTTCGACCCACCGTTGTCAAAATTTAACTTCTTGTCTGTCAGAAATAACCATGCTCGGATAGCAGGGTTCATCGATAACTTTCTATCTGTCAAATGATAACCAAAAGTTAAAATAATCCACCAAATGGTTCAGAGCCTTAGGTTGTGAACCGTTTGCCGAGTTAAATTTAACTCATGGTTAAAAATGACATTTCGAAAGTTATTCTCAATGTTCGAAAATCCCTGTGCTGTCGATCGACCGGTTTTCGAGAAGAACTCAACCACGATTGTCAAAATTTAACTTCTTTTCCGTCTGAAATAACCACGCTCGGATAGCAGGGTTAATTGTGATCACTTTCCATCTGTCAAATTTTAACCAAAAGTTAAAATAATGCACCAAATGGTTTAGAGCCTTAGTAGGCTTGTTTTCTGATTCCAGTAAGACGACACGAGGAGTTCGTAATCTTTGAAACATTTCAACACCGGCTACGTCTTCTTGATTGTGAAAATCATGGCAAAATGGCTGTAGTAGTCTATAAAGGACACGAAATACCGGGAACCATACCGGCCCGGAGGGTCAATCGGTCCACAGACGCCGAAATGAACTCTTTGAAGGGGACGGGTCGTTCGTTCATGGTTGCTGTTAAACGGATCTCTGCACTGCTTTTGTGTCACAAAAACCGATGTCCTTCAGCTTCCCTTCGATACTAGTAAAAAAATCATGCTTGACTAGATTGTTCCCATTGGCTCACGTGACCAAGACGACGAAGCCAAATAGAATTTACCTCCACCGCACACAGGTTGATTGTTGGTGTAACAGGGTCCGCAACCAGCTCGAGTTCATAAAGATTACCCCTCAGATACGATTCTGCTCTGAGTTGGCCTTGCTAAAAAATCGATTTATCTCTTCCGTTCTGTTTCGTAAACAGCAACTCGATCCCTGACTCGGATAACTTCTTTACTGACAGCAAGTTTGCAGCCGTTACGGAACACTAATTCCTTGAACTTCTTCACGGATGCTAATCGGCTGACCATGAACGAGACCATCTTAGATTCACAAGCTGAATTCACTTCACACTTGGTTTTATTCTGTCGGCAATCACGTTTCATTTGTCTGATCATACCACACCGGTGACACTTACCTGTGAACTTGTTAGGTTTCTTTTTCTTTCCTCACGATCTTCACGACTATCGGATCGCTTCATCTCTTCGGCTAGCAACCTCTGCTTTACCTTCTCCAGAGTAAGCTCATCCTCATTCATGTTCTCCAACGCGGTAACGAGAGGGTCAAAAGTATCCGGCAACGTGAGGAACAGTTGCCGCACCAGGTCATTGTCTTCCAGCTTGACAGCCGCCGTTTTTATTTGCCGCACCAGCTTATCGAATAGCTGGAAATGACTCCGCAGTGACGATCCTTCTCGCATCCAAAGCCTTCCACATAGCCTTGGACGTTTTTTTTTTTCTTCTGCCGGACGATTTCTAGGCATTCATCCGAAATGAAACTC